TACTTAAATTGCTTGGCAAACATGTTCAGTAGGAGAACAAAATGCTAAATTCCGTGTCCTGAAAGGTAATATTGCTTACCAGAAATAGTAGATAAGATTTTAAAAATAAATGAGAATGGATGTTTACCACCAATGAGTGCAACTTTAAGTCACATCTGCTGGTGTTTCTAAGTATCATGTTTCATCGTTTTTTATTCGCTATCAAAGGCTCTACATTGTTTTTAACACATTCTGAACCAACAGTCAAAGACCTCATGAACTTTTAGGAATTGTCCTGGTGCGAACTTGACAGACTCAGAGGCCAATCACTAATTATTCGTACTTGTAATATACCCACGAATACGAGACGTAGAAAGAACACAATGGCGTAGTCGGATGAAACAGTATGTCTGCGAGGTCGTGCTCAAATGCCGATGCGTTCCCAGTAACTGGCTACAGGGCATATTACAAGCAGTGTTACGTAACACAACAGAGTGTCAAATGGCGTGGATGCTTGACCGTATGCCTTCAGCTTATCGAATCAGGTAAAACTGCGAAGGTCAGCATTAATGTTGAATGTCGTTGAACCCTAGGCTATTGATTCTGGAGAAGTGTGGCATCCTACAAACTAATTTCATATTTTAATCTGAGTTTTTTTATGAATCAGCAAATTTGTCTCTTTTATCATCCCAAGTATGTGAATATCTGATATGAAGAATAATATGTTCCTCTGTAGAATAACACTAGTGCTGATAACGCTCAACCGATAGGCAAAGTTGATGTGCTAACAAGATAGACTACTGAAGAGATTGAGTAGTCAGAAGTCACCCATATCCTAATAAGTAGATTTTAAACCTGTAAATAATTTACGTGTTAATGATCCACTTCAGAATTCATGCCAAGGACGCGCCCTTGATTCCTAACACTTATACATTCCTGTATCAAAGTTGGTTGTATGCAGAGTCATCGTAGGGTGCTAAGAATTATAAAATAACAAAACTGATCATAGCAGAGTTGTGTCAAACGTAACAAGTTGGTCAATAAGGTTATTAGGGGAGATGTGAACCGATCAAAGATAGGACAGCATGAGGGTGACTGGTTAATAAAACAGAGGTGTAGGTAACTCAAGTCTGCAGTGATATGACAGTGGAAAAGAATGCTGTTATACAACAAAGCATATCTGATCTTAACTCAAAATCATGACAACTTTCACTGTCTGTGATTAGTACATATATGCAACTGTATTCTTATAGTGAATACTTGAACGATGAAGAGAATGACACATCATTCTAGGTGACCCAGTGACTCAATGTTAACGTGATTGACATGAAACTGAGTTCGATCTCTGGCAGAGTCACAGATGCACACTTCTCAGGAGTCCTATCCTAGAACGAAACACCTATCCGATGTCCCAGGTTTTCGGTGATTCTCCAACTAATACCAGTTTGTGATGAATATCAACTTGAAAAGCAATTAATTTACTCGGAAGAGATCAGCTTAATTGATTGATCTGAACGAATTACTTGCTGACATTTCTATATAGACTGAGAAACGGTCATCACTTGAGTTAATCTAATTATTGTGAATATTTGAATTAGACTTATCTTCAAATTCCTTAACCGGTGTAGCAACGCAAACCACAACCACACACAACTTTCGGCCAGCATCACTGTCACCTGTCTCCCTCTCTCCCTTATTTCCATATCATCCAGACATTTATCCCAATGAACACTGACTCTCAGAAATACAGCATAACTCACTAGCATGCAATCCTCCACTAAGCCAACATAACCACACTACCCTACACTACACTACAACACACTACACTACCCTTACAAACCATACCGCACCACACACTGCAACTCAAAGTAACACCTGATGAACGCTGCCTACTGTTTACACCCCCTTCGCGAAAACATTCCCTAAAATATTTACGTTCAATTAGAATCAGATTGTGTGGTTTACTGACAATTCACTGATCAAGCAGATATCTAACACATTGGGGGGTCGACTAACTTCATGAATCAGGACTGGTGAGCATAAGACGTAGTGTCGATGTATTAATCCGAAAAGATTTTCAACTCAGTGAAGTTGGATCCGGCAAGCCGCATCGCCTTCACATAGTCTAATTGATAATATGACGCTCGCTACTTTACTGAAATTCACCTGGATTTGCAGTGTGTCGGCAAGATGGGGCTGGATGGTCAGTGAAATCACGGGAAGTCGACAGTTAGGTGGTATTGTAGATTTACGTGGCGGTCGGGCACAACTCTCAGTTATCCAGTAAGCTACAGATGGATGGTGTAACTACTGTCACCATCTATCTTTCCATTACACCATCGATTATCATACCCCATCGATCTCTTATTCCTCACTCATTTCACCTTTCCTCCCGACTTCGAAGCATCCACAATTCTGACAGCCGGGGTACATTTTCTATAGTCTGAAAAGTGGTTGTCAACTAACGCAGATAGATGGGCTCCTGAAGTAATGTCTACTGTGAATGAGTTGCTGGTGACAACCATGTCTTCTTGTCAAGCGGCTGTACTGCAACTACTTGAACTTCCGCTAGTTCTCAGACGTCCATGGAAACCTGCATACCAACTCACTGGAAGTATGTCTGCAGTGTTAAAATCGCTGTACAGCCGCTCACTCGTTTACACTCACCGATGGACCTTTGCAGGTTACCGGTGTGCCAATAATCTGATGAACACTACAAAACGTAAGTTGTTGTAAATTCATATTAGAAGCAGTGAAGGTGGAATCAGTAGGAGAGAATTTTCGATTCAAGTATAAAGTTGAGCAAATTACATTTTCTACCTTCTTGCTTGTCTTCTTGCATCCTAAGTGTTAGTTCTACCACTACAATGTCTTCCAAAACTCGGTCATCTGACAAAGTCTAACTGGCAGTCCATTAGAACATTATCCCCAGTAAGTTAGCTCGATTTGTAGTGAGTCAGTAGGACGTAACTAGGCCCTCAGTATGATCACGAGGAATGGATGGTGAAGTGCCATGAAGTCAAAAAGTAGTTGGGAAAAATTCTCAGTGATTCAATGTGGAATAAACACCTGGTGAACAGTGGCATCACACAATTCGACAGAATATCGGCGTGTTAACTTACAGATGAATGGTGCAAATCCTGTCACTAACCAACTTTCCATTTCACCTAAAATCATCACATCCTATCAGTCGCCTACTCCTCAGTTCCCCTGTCCTCCTGTTCACACATTATTGGCTGGTGGTGTATCACCAGTGTGTGAGATGCTAAGAACTTTGAAGACGTTTCGGAATTCAGTTATCACGATGAAATTTGATTCTGCGTTGATGTGAATCATGTGAATGAAAAAACTCAAATTGAAGTGAACCTTTATGTGCCGTCGAAATTTGGACGGCATCCTAGACTGACCTGAACGACCTTGAATGGAGCGACGATGAAACCGCAGTTTTGTAGTACCAGTCTATTCGAAGACAGTGAGGTCAATCAGAGAGGAGGCTTCAAATCAAAGTATGCACAGTATACAAACTCTTTCGACTATGTGATGCGTGATACCCATCCATTTGGGATTTTAGTTGAGTCAATCCTAACGCAAGATTGTTCTTTCGATACTCGTGGATGAGTGTTTGAACTTGTGTCCGGAATAAATGGCTCGCTTACTGATGATAATCTTATCTTGTCTTATCAACCAACTTTATTTTCTTTTCCAGTTGGTTGCGTAAATGTTTACCTCTTACAGATTACATTCTGCAGTAAGTTATGTTGAATTGTAATGACATACGGAGGGAGTTAAAATCCACAAACGTCAACAACTCACCAGTCACAGTATATCGGATCACTGGAGAGATCCCATGCCAGGCGGGACAAAAGAGTCATTCTGTGGTTGCACGACTTCAATGCTTCTCCAACTGATCTCAGTCAATGATAAACACCAAGATGGAGAAAAATGGCTCGTTTATTCTACGCTCAACTCATATTTCTCTTCAGTTGTAACGCCTAGTAATAAAGTATTTTTCACCATGACACCTGTTATAAAACCCTCGCTTTCACAATAACATGCTGAGAATTGATCAAAGACAGAGTGCACCGTAATAAAACTGTTGTTGAGATGGACAAAACTCACTTTCCAATGTCCAATGGATAACAGGAGACTGAGAAAGCCTGTTCTACCGCTGCAAATCAAATCCCTAGTTGAAACAGTTCTCAGCCCATTTCAAACTTGATGATTTGAAAAGGGACTAAGTACTGCATGCATCATTTTTATCACTATGAAATGTACATGTTTTTAATGAATGAAAACGACGGTGTAGCGAGATCGTGTTTACTCACGCTTAACTGTGTAACACTAACAGCTCTCTCTCTCTCTCACAGGCGACAGTAGATAGGAATTTACAACATCAGAGCTACAATATGGTAGCTCGATGAAGTGTTTTCACCATAAATGCATCCGTGTTATCAGCAGATTACAAAAACATACGGTGTGTCAGTTCCCTATGATATGGCTTATGCTTCCCAGTGATAACCCAGTTGACATCAGAGTTGGCCAGCCGGGAAATATGAAGATGAAGTTGTCTGCGTGCACAGGCGATAAGCGCACTCCAAAAGAGGGGTGGGACACATTGGTTCTATGTTCTGCTATCCTTTAAGCAGCCACTTCTATCTAGACAATTTTGATTTCTTCTCATGTGAAGATACTTTGCAATGAAGTATTCCGCACAACTTCGAATTCCTTCTCAACCATCTAACTAGCGCATCAAAGTTGATAATATAATTTGATATTCTCTGATATGACTGAAGAGATTTTTCAACCAAAAACTATGCCTGCCACCTTTCTATTTTATCTACTCATTTCACAGAAATAAACCAGTTCAAATGAAAAGTCAACAGGAGGAGTTCAATGTTCAACTGCTTTTTAATCAAAATATAACATTGAAAGTTTCAAAATGGTATTGAAAAACATTTTCAAAGTAGACGAGTGAACAAAAATAGAGTAATGTTGTTTCAGTGATATAAAAGTGTATGTTATTAACTTGATGTTAACTTGAATAAAGTTAATCTCATGCTCCGTTTTTTTGTTTTACTATCATTATCATCATGATTATTAACACTACTACCGTTTCTCTTGTTCATTATAACACGTTCATTTAGTGTTTGCTTTGTTGACGTAATTGACGAAGTTATTGATTTTTCTAATGATTCCGCGAGCCTTGAATCTGTAGTGATTTTCGGTAATACAGTAGTAGTATTCCATGGTACACAAGCTACAGCTAACCTTGAATATTGTAATAATTGATGTGAAAATAACTTTGTATCACGTGTACATAGGATAGGATGCGCATTATGATGGTGACGATGATAACCGATTTGAAAGCATCCCTTGCATAGAACAATATTAGTGCAGAATAGACATGTATACCTTTCACCTAACCAATTCACTTTATCACAAAGTTTGCAGGGTTTAGATAACCATCCTGAATCGATTGACTGATTCGCTGTAGGTGTAAGCGTGTGTGATGTGACTGTCTCCTGTTGTGGTCGTGGTGTTGCTGGTGGCGGTAATTGTGGTTGTGGTCGTTTCAACAAGATATTCGGCAGTTCATCAGCTTTACAAAAGCTGAAAAATGAATTTAACGATCTCCTGTCAGAGTATGCATGTGGTATAGCATAGATTTGACAGATTTGACCACAATTACTGAAATATTTTACCATACGTTTTAAGCATAACTTTGAGGTGATTTGTACAAACTCGTGATCACCTTGAGAAAAGGGAGAGAAATTCACTTTCGCTTACATAAATATGCATACAAATGAGTGACAATACAAATCATAAAAATAGTAGCACGATCCTATCTACATAAAGTAACGCTCAAACGTCCTTGAGACTGAATGACCTTGGTGTGACCAGTTAGAATGTAGACAACAAAAAATGTGTTTTGAAGTGAAGCTGTACGCTTGAGAAGTTTTCTTCGGCATGCTCTTAACAACCACTTTAGAAACCATGAAGATGATTAGTGAGGTTGTGTCTATTATGTTTGGAAAGGTGGTCTATTTTCCAAGTAGGGATACCTGGTGAGTTATTGAAATTGGTTACTAAAGTGACCTTGACGGTAACTAATCCCCAGTCGCAGTTTCTATATTCGATGAAAACTAGTCACCAGATTATACTGGTGGGTATCGGGTTTCGTTCGATTTCAGACTTACTAGTCAGATAGGAGTAGCTGCACTCCAATGAATGACGACTTTCTCACTGACACTGGCTTTAAACAGCAAGTCGCTATTCACTCAGCTGCATAGGCACGATACTCACTGCCTACGCAACGATTAGTAGTTGCTATTACTATTACTTTGTTATTACCATTGCTAGTAGTATGAGTTTATAAAACATGCCGATGACCTCCTAATAGTTTCCATACTTGCTTCTGCTTCAGTAAGTTGTTTCCAGCTGAACGACTTCTTGTCTACTGTTGCACGATGGTCTGGCGCCGAATTCTTCAAAACGCGAGACCATAAACTTTAGTTTCAAACGAGAAAATAATCTGTGTAACCTTCTCATGTCCTATGGTTCTTGTTCTATTGATGGTTGTGTGTTTTAGGGAATGTTGCAAGTGTGATTCGTGTCGGCGTGTGTCTTTCTTCACAGCTTTCATAGTCCTCTCGTACCTGACTAATTTCCAAAAGAATCAATCACCTACCTAACTTTCTATATTAAACAGAGAGATTTTAGGATACTTCGGCGTTTTATAAATTCCAAAATCTTGCCTAATCTCTCCTCTTTTGTTCCACTTCATTCTTTTCTGAGTTGCTACACAAAGACGATGTTGTACAGCGTAGAACATTGAAGATTATCGAAAGAAGTAGAGTGATGTACCTGTAAACCCTCTAATCGTGTGACTGTTGTGGACATCTGGCGGCAGTGGCTTCATCATATGGCCAGCATCATCTTCACTTCAAGCTTTCTACGTGCCAGTCCTCAGGAATTCCGTGCCCAACAGCAAATAAATAAGACTAAATGCGCGTACTACAGAATAATAAGGACTGAACCATACACACCTAATCTACCTCATATCCTGTACGAACAAGCAAGTCTTAACAGTCAACTAATACCAGTAAACTTTTGCATATTTTAAGGCAAATCAAGTAAACCCCTGGGGAGTTTGAATGTTGCTAGTGTGACTGTGTCGATCTGCGTTAACTGTGCATCTTCAAGAAGGTTGTAGATGGGAGAAATACTCTTATCTCTTTCCAATGGACGGTTTCTGCACACTTCATATCATTATGTACACATCCATATGTAGACTGTGTCCACCTGATGTTAATTGACGACATCCTATACCGTATTCCCAAAATCCTCTGAATCTGTACACCGAATCGCTAACTCAAAGTTGATTAGCTACTTTCCTAGTCCAGATATGATTAGAAAGTAACTTGTGAAGATAGTCAGCTAGGCCAGTTGAGATATCAACCGTGGTTTGAGAGACTAGTATTACTGATACTGAGTGATAACTGAAGGTGACGTGATAATTTGGATGGCGGCCGGATTCGAACCAGCGACCATCGGGTTTCACGTCCGATACTGCAACAACTGAGCTACAACGTCCATGTTGGTTGTATTGCTATACAACTTAACATGATGGAGATAAAATGATTTGAACATTCTGTACAGAAGTTTTGTACGTGCTTCTTCAGGGAAAATAATCGAAATTTACACATCAAAACTGTGTAAATGGTTATCACTGAGAATATCTGAGATAGCTGAAGCATGGCAGAATGTTACTATTTAACCGTTGTGATGAATTAAATTGAAGCAGGAAGTTTAGTCATGGTGTTAGTGAGATCCCACCCAGCAACTACTGGGTTATCAGCAATAGGGAGTTTCACGTTCCACTCGGAACTCAAGAAACAAATAATAATAATCAGGGATAGTAAATTCCACTTTCTTCATAGAAACCTTCTAATATGCATCTATATAGGCAGCTGCTAATCAAAAGTCTTTACAAGTCAATTACATAAATACTGATTAACTGTTGGACTATGCAAACTTCTAGTATGATCACATGATCACATGATAATAAAGTTGTTTTATTATGCAAATTGATCGATATCACATTTATTGATCGCATAGTAATTATCGATTAGATTATTTGAAATCGGTTTAGTCTAATAAATTTGATAGACGAGGTTGAATTGAAAGTTGGTTGGAGTAAGGGGTGAATTTTTTAAATTTCGCCGCTTGTAGTTGAGACGATGCTGCTTAGGCAGGCCCGTAGGCAAGTAGCAAGGTAGGTGAAAGAGACAACTTCGTTTAGATTTTCCACTGGATGGTGATTGATACTTGTTGTTGTGTTGGTCGGGTATCTACATCACCTCTGACTTCTCCACCTTCACCTGATGGAAATCCTGTCTTTGCTGACCTGCCTCTCCTCTTCTACCAACTTGTTGGTTTTCGCCTGTACATCATTGTTGGGGGAATGCAAATCTTCTAGGACCTTTTCATCACTCCAGTCAGCGTATGTCCATCTTCTCGCTACTTCTCATAGTTCATTCAGTGCATCATCCAGTCCACCACAATCACGACTATCATCATAAGTAGGTGATTAAGGTGATTGATTGTTTACAACGATTTACTTGGTCGAATAAAACTATCAACCGATAATCTATCTTTGTTGTCTAGGCGGGTTAGGGTTATCTGGTAAATTTTTAAGTCAGGCAAGAAGAAATGAATACGACAATATCAGTTTATTCCATCAATACTCGTCATCTTTGTTGGATACAGCCTACAAGTACAATACATGTTTGATGATATATCAGCGTCATTCCTCATCTGGATATTACGTAATAAAAGATTGGAGAAGTGTCTGTATAGAGGGATGAGAAAGTGTAAGAAAACAGTAATTGATACCAACTGATAGATGATTAGGTGACGAGTGCCATCCATCGACGTTCATTAAATTCCCAGTTGATTCACAACATGGCTAGTCTGTGGAGAATACACAATGGACATGTAGAAAGGTGTATTGTTGTCGAAAGACTATTGATTGATTGTCTGATCCATCATGTGTCTGTCTAACTGTGGAAATGATAACACCAAGTACATTTTGATTGGTCTCTCTCCAGATGATTGATTTCTCTCTATCTCCATATCATCTCCCTCTTCAATGGAATGCAATTTGGGGTTGAACTGGACCCCTCTGTCTTTTTCTTACAACTATCTACCAACCAACATAAAAGGAGTTTCACCTTGTTAACTGGAGGACGACTATTGTACACGTCGTTGTGTGTGTGTGTGTGTGTGTTGGCATCAAAATCTGTCCCTGTGGCCACCAGTATTACTTTCCCAGCATCGACTTTGTTCATGTGAACAAGATTTGACGTCGTGTTGATGCCTAGATGACTCAATCATCAGACATACGAGTTTATAATCTATCTAGCAATGTAGTCCATTGGCGCATTTCGTTATGTTTTAAGGCGCTCATCAGATGACCCAATGATAAGTACTGGAATAAGGCGTCACTTGAATGTATGTATACTCAGTTGACTGACCAATGAATGAGTTGCACAATGAATGGATGAAATGTATATAAACCGACCCGAAATAGGCGAACACAATGAATTAATTCACTTACCATAATAGTAAATACTGAATAGAGTATCACGTTTTAGATTGGTAATTTTGCATATCGCCTTAGCAATCCATTCCATAGATAAAGATTTCGGTGGACCATAAAAATGAATTCGACAGATTTCTTGATTATCATCTGATCGTAAGATGGAAATATGAATTTGACTAACATTATTTTGATTCCCTTTTTCCTCTTCTTCTTTCACGAGAAAACAGAATTGATAACTTGCTTGCTATGCAGAATCCTTTGAATAAAGGGTGTACTACTGTTACAGTGGGTGTTTCAATGATACTTTAATGTAAGTTAGATTAGAGTTGTAGTAAGATAGACAGCAGACAGATAAAGTGAATGAGATGAGGCATTTACAATTGAAATGCTTCATACAGTAATTTGCACACATGTACACGTGATTTAGTGAGAGAGAGAAACCAATTGGATTTAGTCAGGTATTGTGACAGTAAACCTCGTGGTGCACAATTGCCAAACAACTTGACAATCACTACTCATAGTGAAGTGGGTGCTACTGATGAGAATGGATATAAGTAGTATGTGTTGACAGGATGGTTGTGTGGGTCCTAGGAGCGAAGGTAATGGTGGTTGACACGTTGCTGAGGTGTCGAGTGAAAGCAGCATATGATGGCGTGTAAAGCATGTATGGGAAGGCGGTGGAGTTTGACAGCTCAACAGACAGGAAGCTGATGATGCAGAGGTTCAACCTGAAGACCTGGTGATATTTATTGCCTGTGAACCTGACGAATGTGCTTGGACGAGCACTTTGCAATTTGGATGTAGATGCCTCAGTGCTTATTTCCACCTGATGTGAAATGAAATCAAGACATTGACGACTGATGAATGACTGTTTGCTTGCAAGGTTAACTGACTGACTGGCTGGCCGGTTAGCTAGCAAAGGAATGAGTTATTGAGTGAGTGGGTGAGGGATGGAGTGACTGAGTCAGTCTGTCAATCACTCGCTCACTCACCTAATGCCTCAGAATACGAATGAGTGTAAGAGTACATGACTGATTGATCGATCAGGTGGTGAGTGTATGAATGATGTGTGGAACAATTTGATTTTCTTTGCTTTATTGTCTATTTGTTTATTCAGTCAGTGATCCACTGATAATCTGTCAGTCAGTCAGACTGACTAACAGACTGACTATCTAAGTAATCTGATCTCGCTTACTACACTCCATTGGCACATATGGATGGATATTTTCCACACGATGCAATCTAACAACTGCCACTTATCAAATTTGCTTTACTCGCAAGTTAATTAATCAAGATGTGAACATCGGTCATCACGGATTATTACGCGGATTATTACGAAATCTTCCAATCTCACATTCTGCAAGTTAGCAATGAAACGAAGGAAAGCCAACACGCGATACATGCCAATCAACGCACAACAAGAAATTATTCATCATATCCTCGGTATTTATCGAAATGTCTAGCTGTCATTGGATTGCCTCCTTCAATCTGGTTAGCTAACTGGCTCACTCACACACTCGCTGACCGAATGATCACCAATGTACACTATTCATCGCCTGCTCACTCCATTCCTCCTTCACACATCACACGATAACCTAACCCTTACAACAACGACGACACCTCATCTTTTCATATCACTTACTCTATCTCTCTCTTCCTCGCCGCCTCTGTCCCTTACTCTAATTCTCTCACTACTCACAGGCTATAATCATGCCTTCGTCCACATTACTCCCCACAACATACAGTGAATTGTATATCTCATCTCATCGAAAGTATTGTCTAAAGCAAACGGATTACTAGTAAAACAATAATTGAAAGACGACAGATTGATAAGACAGAACATGGATATATTATGCGAAAACGGAGAGGAGAAAACAAGTTTCAAAGGAAACCGATTTGCACGTTTGAATGAAAGAAGAATGTTATGATATAGGGAACAGGTAAGTGAGAGGAAGACAACCAAGTGAAGCGTCTTCAATTGAAGTGAGGCCAGATGGAAGACGAGCGGTGGACCAGCGACGAAGCAGGTGCTAGAATTGAAGAAAATATAAAGCATCAATGAACCAATCAACCATACAAGCAGAAATCGAACAAATGAATGAAGTGAAGGCATGAATGGAAGTGGATTGTAGCAGCAAATGAAAATATTATTAAAACTAGACTGAATGAAGAAGAAATGGTCAACAAGAGAGGATAAGATATGAACTCGTTTATGAAGAGCGAGAGAGTGAGTGGGCCAGCGGTGAATCCCCCACCCCACCCCACCTCTTCAACACAGCTAACTAATTAACTAACTATGCAACATCTTAAATTCATCATCTTGTCACTAATTACATGATGACTGACTTTGAAGCTATCAACTGTCTTCTTTCGATACAACCAGGCAGCCAGTGGTGATATTCATCATCATCTGATGATGAGGAGATTCATCACATCCCCTTTTATCATGTTACTACAATACTCCACAACACCCCACCCCACCCCACCCCACCCCCAACCCTACTCTACCCCTAACAGCATCAGTATCAGATTACAAATTACAACCACCTTCACACCACACTACTAATCTCCCTCCCTCCCTCTCTGTATCATATCAATGTATGATACATAGTTGATCTGTTTAAATGTTGCAGCCTGTTATTCATTGAAAACTCAATCACCATCATCATCATCATCATGCTGGTGCCTGTCCAAATCGGTACACGGCTTGCTAGCTGGCTAGCTAGCTAGCTTCACACCACGATTTAATCTGAGCACTTGTATGTACGAAGCTAAGCTAAGGTAAAATAGAGAGAATGAGACAATTCTACTTGTGTTACGTGTTAACGAAGGCTTGCAACGTTTAATTTCACACTACATACACTACCACCTCTCATCATATAGTCTGTCTGTATGTCTGTCTGTCAGTGTGTCTATCCATTCTCTGTGGTACCTTATTCAGTCAGTCAGTCAGGCAGGCAGGAATCAGCTAACTCACTCGATTAACAACACCCATCCCTCGAAAAATATCTGGTCCCTCATGCAAATCAGTCGTCAGTCAAGTATTTTACTGTATATAAACAACTGCCTTTTCAACTACTAGCCAGCTAACTAACTAACTAACTCATTCGATTGATTATTGTGCAAGGAGAGGGGTTAATGGAAAATTCGATAATGATTTGCCAGTTTGTGACTGCCCCGATCTATGTGGGTTATGCTAAACACAGGTTTATATTCATTCCAATTCTTATTTTATTGCTGAACAAGAAATTATTTTGCAAACTATCCCCCCTCCCTCCCTCCCGCCACAATCAGCCTCCAACCACTCAACTCCACTCGACTCGACACAACTCGACGGGATTCCAGTGGACTCCAATAATAAATAACACCATTTTCTGGTCGTCGACCCAGTAGACAAGACAGCTCGATCACAAGCCATAGTCTATCTATCTATGACAACCGACCGGTCAGTCAATTGCCCGCTCCACTGCCCAGGTCAACCATCGATCTACATCGGTCTACCAAGTAAGTGATTCAATATCTCCTTTCTATTACTGTTGTTGTTCAATGCATTAGGCTGGACAGGACAGGACAGAACAGGACACTCAAGGTGTGTAGGAAGAGACGAAACTTTCAGACAGCCTTGCAAATAAGTGAATTGATCAGTTAGATTTATCTGCCAGCCGCCCGGCCGGCGCACTTTACATGAGTCGTCGTCGTCGTCGTAGTAGTAGTAGTAGTAGTAGCGACATTATTAGAAAAATATTGATCATGATGAGGATGATACTAGTGAGAAAAGACTCATATTGAAGGAAGCAGACAAACAAGTAAGTAAACAAACACTTCTAGTCGAAAGATTTAAGATTTCGATCAAATGACTACGTGACTGACTGACTGACTGAATCTCTAGCATCGTGACCCATTTCACCTAGAGTCATCAGTGAGTCAGTCGTCAACCACACATTCCAACTGTCTTATGGAACCCCAAACACAGCCAGCCGACCAGCCATCCAATCAGTCTGTCAGTCAGTCGTACAACATCTCGTTCGCATATCAATTAATCATTAGCATCAGGGGATGTCGACTACTAGAGAACAAATAATAAACATTTCAACGCCTTTCATCTCATCTCATCTGATGTCTCTACTGGCGCATAAGCTACCTACCTAGCTAGCTGGCTATCTAGTCAATATTATCCATTATATAATGTGGCTATGTGAAATAATAGTAATAATAATCTACTAAGTGAGTAGTAATCGATACTAAATTAATCAAAAGTGATTGCATCAGTCACAGAAATAATAATAATAATGATAATAATATTAATAATCAGGATGTTATGGAAACTCACATTTCTCAGGTATATTATGTTTAACAGAGGATAGATAATGAGAGTATTGTGCTCATTTGACCACAATTGTCGGTAGTAGTAATAATAATGATAATAGGATATAGACTTTTGTAATACAGAATAGATCTGATTCTTCGTCTTCGTCTTCTCGTCCAAAGCATGATTGATGGAATAGATGAGAGAGACGAGTTTCTGTATCACAAGACTTCAGTTGAGTTGAGCTGATGGCAGAATCAAGGTTCTTGTGTGTTCCCTGACCACTCCATACCCCCACGGACTGATTGACTGACTGACTCGACCGATAATTCCGTAGTCAACGCCTGAATAACAAACAGTTTCTTCAACTTCCTTCTTTCAGTCAAGCAAGTTCAAGTTGTCTCTCTTATGCTTGTTAAAGTAGTAGTACTTGTTTTTGGTTGATGTAATAAGTAGACTATGTGTATGTGAACTTGTTCATTACACGATGATAATAACAGTGACGACGGTAGTGCAGTTAGTTAAATAAGTAAAAAAGCCAGACAATTTTCTGTCTCTGTAATTGTCGTCTCGAGCAGCATGTGATAATATTCGGCTATTTATTCAGCGGAACTGGTGAATTTGGACGTGCGTCACTGGGTCGTTAGGCTAGCTAGCCAGTCTCTCTTTGCTCTTTTCACTATACAGATGACGACGAAACGTTAAGTGATTCACCCATCCCGACTCCCTACCCAACACTCCCAAACCCCTCCCTCTATCCCGTAAACCATCTACAACAGTAGAACAAAAAGGATTCTGCTTATAGGCACAAGTCAGTTAAAAATTTACGACACACACACAATGATGCACCATCACATGTATAATCGGAAATGTAGTAACTGGCTATCTGAATGATTTCAAGTTTAAAATAGTGGTCGTTAATTATGGTATACTTCCACTAAGACAGTCATTTGCAAAATATGCTTCATTTCCTCTTCTACTTCTCTCTTGATCTGTTCTTCATGTACCTGTGTTGTGCCTTGCGTTTCTCTTGGCAGAATCCTTACCCACTGCTGGTAATTCACTATGATTTCCATCACTCATCATATACTACTTATATCCATTCTTATCAGCAACGCCCACTGCACTACTAATATTATTATTACTAACATTATTATTATTGTTATAACCACGAAACGATAAGAACTTATCATACTGTTTGGAAAACGAAATTGTATCAATAGTCTGTAGAAATTGTGTTTATATCAAAACGGTTTGTTTATTTTCTCTGTTCAAAGCTATCTGTACTCTCTTCTGAATGTAACTGTCCGCCTTTACTTCTTTAAGGGTTATCATGGTGTATTCATAATGCAAAAAATGAACGTCACATTCTTCATCTTATCAAGATGTCTATGGCACAAGCTAATATGTTGTACTCTTGATCTGATAAAATGGCCACTGTTACCGGTCTTAACTTCGATTAGAGTTTCCTTTAGGTTTGACACACTGAAGAATTACATAACGCTCGTTTTATCCATTATCATTTCGCTGGATTGTTAAGTTCCATTTCTGTCTTACTACCACTAACATCACACCAGTTGACTTAGATGGAAGACCACAGCGTTCTGCCGAACCACAAGGAATAGTAGTGCACCTAACAAAATACATTGGAAACATACAGGGCATAGAAAGCTCTGGCAGCCTCGTCAGAATGCTAACCAATGAATGATACTGCCATAAATCG